TTGAAAAGGGGCCCGCACCAGGATCGTTTTAAGCACGTCTTGGCATGCTCGTTTGGGCAGCACCACTGCTGGTCCAGGCGGGAGTTTGAGAAGTTGCACTGCTACGAGCACTTCTCCGCCATCGTCACCAACTGCCCGTGGCGCCGTCTGCTCTCCATCCGCGAGAAGGTCTACCACGAGCCCGTGCTGGAGTTCTACACGACCTTCAAGCACGCATCCACAGAGAGTTGGACAGACGGTGAAGCCGTCAAATTCAGGCTCGACGGTGTGCCCCGGTCCATGAGCTACCACGAGCTGGCCACTGCTCTTGACCTCGGCCCTGCCGATGGTGAGGACTACGTCACCGAGGTCAGCGATCCGGTGGGCGTGAACTTCAAGACGCTGTACACCCGCCTTGCTCGGCCAGGCCAGCGTCGCTTTCTGGCCGGGAAGACGAAGGCCAGCACCCTGCACCTCGACAACCGCCTTCTCCACCACCTGCTGGCAAAGTCCTACACCCCAGCTTCAGACAGTGCCAGCGCCATCACCAAGCGGACCTTGTACTTCATACAGTCTATCCGCCAGGACGACCATCCTCTCCACTTGGGTTTTGTGGTGGCAAGAACCTTTGAGAAGAGTGCTTCCGAGTTGAAGAGCTTGCACTGCACCCCCCTCATCACCCGCCTAGCCACCTACTTCGGGCTTTCACTGCAGGGGTGCACAGAGCAGGGGAGCACTAGTGTCTTTGGCAGAGATACGATTCATCACATGCACCTGCTGCGAGAGAACCGGGGCATCATGTGGATCGAGGGGTTTCCGAAACCTCATATCCCAGAGGAGGACCAGCCAGAGGACCAGCCCGAGGATCCGGAGGATGAGGCTGCTGATCATGTGGAGCCCGAGGAGGTGGATGATGCAGCTGCCCCCCGCCCCACCACCTTCGAGTACGGGGGTGGCAGCTCCGCTTTCCCCAGGCAGGACTACTTCACCCACCAATTCGAGCAGCTGCATATCCAGAACCAGCAGCTCTTTGACTAGCAGCTCCAGTTCCAGCAGCAGTATGCGGCTCACCAGGCCGAGTACCAGAACCGGATGGCTGCCTATGATGAGCACCTGGACATGCTGGCGACCTAGCAGGGGGTGACACTTGCTCATATCGAGCGAGAGAAGGCTCGATCTAGGCGCATGCAGGAGGTCCAGCAGCACCTGCTCCAGCTGCTACTGGGCGAGCCGCCAGTCTAGAGGACTCCCTGGGAGGACTCTCCACTTCCACCTCCCCCAGCGGATGACGATGACGCTTTCATGAACGACATCGACCTGGATAACCTTGGCGACGAGTAGGCTGTACTCGTTGCCCCTCTGAGTGTGTTTTCATTTCAGACTTTTGTGTGTTTGCTCCATGTGTGCGGAGCTTGAACTTAGTTTGTCGTTTGTTTTTGTTTTTCTTTTGTGGATTGTTTATTTTGTGGCCGTCTGGGCTACTGATCCCTAATGCACAGTGTGCTAGTGTGTTCTTGATGTTCGATTCGTGCAGAACTATCCATCTTCCCGTTTGTTTCTCGCTGACTGGTCCACTTCCAGTCCCTCGACAGTATTTCAATCCGGTAACATCGTTCCCCTTATCTCTCCCTCTACTCCATTGAGGGCAATGTCGTGCTTAAGTATGGGGGGTGCTTTGTATCGGTTGGAATCTATATATGTGTGCTTGGAGCCTAGTCCGCTGTCCGAATCTTACGATTTGAGGGCTCCAAGTACTGTTGTTTGATCATATTGGCACTATGTTTTGATTGATGAATTGAATGGCTTTCGGATTGATGCATGACAACTGGATTGTAACTAGGACAACCTATGATGATGACTAAGACGTGCAGTAGAATTGTGTAGGGGTTCAGTAGTTCAACTGTTTGCTTACCAACTGTGACTTGGATGGATCACTTGTTCTTGAAAGTCGTTTATGCATCTACTTCAGGGAATCAGAATGAGAGATAGAGCATATAGGTAGCCATGTGAGATTTGAGCCTGCTCGTTCTTTCTTGTGCGATAGATCCCTCTTCCATGATGTGTAGCATTCACGTTGTCATTAGCTAAGATGATGGAGGCATAGGATTAGCCCACGACCAAATTGACTGTCCTGATGTGTCATATCCCCTAGTCAGCCCCTTTGAGCCGTGTGTTATCCTTTCTTTCGGTCTACAATGAAAAATCACCCTTTTGCATCTTTTAGAAGGTTCCATAGAGTGGTTTTTACAGGTTTTCTGCTGTTTCTGCTAAATTTAATGTGAGGGTTGGAGGTAGTGCTTAAAAGTTGGGCATGTGTTTGAAATATGTGCAGAGGTGGTGGTTCTCTTAAGAAATGAAAAAGAAAATAAAAGAAAAACAAAGAAAAAAAATGAAAGAAAAAGAGAGCCACTACCAAAAATCTGAATAGTGCCCATTAAGTAGTGTTTCTTAGCAGTCTGGCTTAGAAATGCTAACATTTATATGACCTCCTTCGCTCTTGTGCTCTAGAGAATTTGAGTAATGCAGAATGGCAGAAAGAAAGTAAGTGGTTTGATTGACTGTTATTGTGTTGGGTTTGGAACTGTGGAACCTTATGCTATGAATATTTCCACCACCTAAAAGGCCTTTTCCCCATGTCCAAGACCCTAGCTAGTCATCTGAACCTGTGTCTAAGACCTCAAGATAGTTAGTGGTGACACCCCATATGTGAACTCTAGCATTTAGAGGCTACCATCATGGTGAAGAGATGTTAGGGATTGAGAGAATAAGCATGCGCATTTTTCGCATCAAATTGTCCTGACCCCACTGGTCGAGAGTGAGCGATTCATTTTTTCATATTCTATATACTCTTGTACCCCGGTGAGGACCTAGATTGCTCGGTCTCTATTCTGATATCTTGAGTTTTGTGCATGAGGTGACTGTTTTGAGTGAGTGGTTGAGTCAAGTCTATGTTGGTTGGTGAACAGAAGGGAGACTCTTCCTTTACTCAATTTTGCTGAACTCGAATGTCCTTTGTGGTGGTTGTCCAGGTTGCTAGTGAAGTTGCTCATGTGTTGATGTTTGAAAGCCAGTACGATTCACGTGTTCTGTGCCTTTATGACTTGTCCTCAATGTTGGTATGATTGAAAATGTGAGCTTACCTTGTGTCTGACTTGGTTTGCTTGGGGACAAGCAAACGGTTAAGTGTGGGGGAGTTTGATAGACCGTTAATTGTACATGTTTTTACCCCTAGTCTTACACCGTTTGAGATGTTAATTCTCGTGTTTAGGCCGATTTCACGCTAGGTTGTGCTTGTTTGTGATATTTCAGGTCCTAATACGTGAATGAAGGCTTGGGAGCGAGTTTGGGGTCGATTGGACGAAGATCGGACGTGTGGCGAGGCGCTGAGGAAGCCACACGGGCATTCCGGGAACCCACACGGCCGTGCAAGTCACCAATGTGGCCGTGTGGGATTCTGCGAGGCTACACACGGGCAAGCTGGAGAATACACACGGCCGTGCATGTCACCAATATGGCCGTGTGGTATTTACCGAGCACAAACACGGGCATGGTGGAAATTGTAACACCCTAACCCGGCTGGGTACTACTTTTACTAAAATGCCATTGACAAATAAAATACTCAAATCCTAAATCGCAGCGGGAAAAATTTTCAAAAATAAAATACTGAAAACACACTTGTAGTTCAAAGCAAAGCCAAAACAAGTGGGCAAATTAAACTCAAACTTTAAAATCTCAATCTGATCTCCAGTCTATACTCATAATCATAAAATGTAAATAACTAGGTAGTCTATGTCGTCGCTGCTACTAAAACTCTTAACTAGGCATCCTCCGTGATGCTTGCACTGCCCTTCTCTAGCTGGCTGCCCTCGAACTTGCTGCTCACTAACTACTCCTCTAGCTCCTTCTCTAGCTCGTCAAACTGGTGAGTGAGATGGGGTCAGTCTACGCCCTTACATTTAACATCTTATTAAAACTTGAGCACTTTACTTAACTGTGTGGAAGTTGTTTTGCACTTCCACTATTGAAAAGCTTAACTCTTAAAAATGTATGGGAGTTACTGTTACTCCATTCTTAAATCTCAAAGCTTGACTTAAATACTTGACTGACACGGGGATCCCTCACTAGCTAGTCTGGTTGCCAACTCATACGTATGAGAAGCCATCCAGGCTTTCCTTAAACTTAAACTTAGTTAGGGGAGTCGTAACGATTCATCCCCCTAACATCTTAAACTTATCGTGGTGGCTTTTCACCACGATTCTCAAGAGCATAACTGCTGCTCATCTTAAAAGTCTCAAAAGGCAACGGACTGGCGCTAGTGACTAAAACACTTAAAACGACTTCACCTTCTTGAAGGTGAGTTACTTCTTAAAAAGAACTTGTTTCTTAAACTTTAACCATGACTCAAACATAACGCTTTAAGGTAAATAGCACAAAATCACCTCAAATCATAGCTCAAGCAAAGAACAAATAAGCAACCATAGACATAACCAAGCAACAGTAACCAATTCGCTAAACTACTCAAAATCATAATACTTAAAAGAATATGTAAGGCGTAGAATTTACCCCTTTACACTAATCTCGAAAAGACGACTCCTCGCTTACTTATTTGAAGGAATCCCTCCTTCGCCCAATTTCTCAAGAACACCATTATAGTGGCTTGTCGGATGGCGTCATCACTCGAACTAACTCAGGCTCTCTCTCAATTTCCAGAACTCATCTCCTCTCCATCACGTCTCCGTCACTGCCACCGCTAGAACCCACCACCAAAACCTTTCCTGTCCTTTTCCCTTTCAGTAGAGGACAATGGACTTTGTCCATTTAATTCCTTCCTTTAGCTACTGCCTTCTTCCAAACATCACCAGGAAATAATCACCCATAACTAATTTTATTTACCCATAACGTGTAGCTATAAGATTGGAGCTTATACCATATGGCTTATTCGCCACCAATTCCACCAAAAGCACCCCTCGAGATCCTGCCACCTGCACAGCCTGAATCTCAATCCATCGTTCAACAAATAATCCCCTTTTTCCTCATTAGGCTCCATCCGCATCGCCATTCCCCAGCGCCTCCTGCTAGCTTGGAAGCTCGCCGCTTTTGCCCGCGTTCGAGGCAGCAGAGAGCTGCTTGAGCAGGTCTCGTATAGAGAGACTATCATGATCGCCGCAAGCCTGCTTACATCCCGCCTTCGACAAATCGAGAAGGTGCTGCTGAGTTCCCCGACTGCGCAGGCGAGCGCTTTTGCTACTCCGCCTTTCTCTTTTACTCGCTCTTTTTTCGATCCTTTTTTTTCTTCTAGGTTGTATTTAAAGGTCTAGTGGAGCCGAGTGAGAAGTAGGGTTAGGGTTTAATTGTGCGGGTTAATTTGGGAATCTTACAAATTACTGGTGAGTTCAATCCGCAACTCAACTAACGTCCGTAACTTATTCGATTTATATCGAAACTCGACACCGTTTGAACCGAGAGTTCGCATTTTTAGTCCTCATCGATATTAGGATGGAATTTGACCAATTTCCCCAAGGGTATAATAGTCATTTTGACTTTTGGCCAGATCGGGGTGTAACATTTCCTCCACCCTTATAAAAATTTCGTCCCCAAAATTTGATCGGGCTCATCCTTTCATACTCCTCATTCTCGTGCTTCTTTGGCTCAAGATTTCACTCTTTCTATATGAACTTCAATGGCGTGCCCTTAACTTGTCTTGAATAGCTTATGATGGTTCTTATATGTACTCTTGACCATAACATATATCCTCATCTAGCTTGGTAGCATCGAATAGGTTTGAGTGACTCTTTGCCCTTTCAAAATTTTCCAATTGGGCCCAAGGTGCGATGGGATAAAATTTCGGCTCAATTTATTTGATCCAACTGATTCAGTTCTTGATGTTGAACCTAAATCGAGGTCGAGGTATCACATTTCCTCCCCACTTATAGAAATTTCGCCCTCTAAATTTATCCACTGTGATTACTGCAAGTTTCGCTTGTGGTGACTTCTTAACTCCTCACCTCACCTATGCACCTTAGACGTATGTCGGAGAAATAACTATCTCCATTATGCGGTATATGAGACGTTAATGCTTCTCTCAAACCTCAAGGTTATAGATGGCAGCTTATCCTCTATTCAGTCAGATGGTACAGCTCCTTTAACACAACTCTCGTCCGGGGTTGATCTCATAGATCACCTAGGTCCTTGTATCTCCTAACTTTTCATCTCTTACTTTCTTCCTTAATGCCTCGTCTTATCCATTAACCATAACTTGAATGGTCACCTTCTCGTTACTTATTGCTTAGTGTTGGAACCTCGTACTACTACTTCGACTTTCTGTATCATGACCTTCCATTTTGCATCTTTCTCTAGCTTGCGATCAACTTTATGACTTCTTTCCAGAATCATGACCTTCCATTTTGAGTACTTGTTCACTCGTGGCGCCTAACTTAACACTTTCTTATCACCGTTTGACTTGGGAGTTCTCGTACGATCTCTTCTATTGTTCTTAGACCTCGCCTGAAATTCCTCGTACAGTTTCCCCGTCCAATAAATTTTTATCCAAGAGATCGACACCTTTCACCCGCATAGGCGATCTTGGCTTCACTTTGGGGTACCCTATAAGATTCCCTAAACTCATATCCCTATTACCTCTCTGCTCGTGACTCTTCTCCTTGATGTTACTCGCTAGTTCTAGATGTCCCTTGTTCTCGATGTAGTCATCTAGGTTCTCATATTCTCTTATCACTTATGTACCTTGACCTATAAGGTTCTCCCTTTGACTATTCTTGACGACCACGATTCCACCTTACAATTGGCCGTAATTTCTCGATGGACTTCCTATGGATCAACTGTTCTCTACTGGTAATCAACCTAATGCTTTCTTGTTGTCTGCTGTACTCCTGCTTTGGCCCGTCCTAGCTATCTTCCTTGACGAATACATCGTTCGGTCGACGACCACCATTTTCTTTTTGTATCATCCTATGGTGTTCTCCTTGCTTCTTTACTTTTACTACCCTTCCGTTGTTGCTTTCTACAATATTCGGTCACCAAACTCCATTGAGTATCTTCGCATTATTGTTTTGGGTCAAAGCTTCACGCTTTTGTTTTGATCAATGTCTGTACATTGACTTAATCTCCCAGTTGGGGTTCTTAGTAGCTTAAGTAACTGTGTCTGATTTTTCCTTAACCAGGCTCTGATACCAAAATGTAACACCCTAACCCGGCTGGGTACTACTTTTACTAAAATGCCATTGACAAATAAAATACTCAAATCCTAAATCGCAGCGGGAAAAATTTTCATAAATAAAATACTAAAAACACACTTGTAGTTCAAAGCAAAGCCCTAACAAGTGGGCAAATTAAACTCAAACTTTAAAATCTCAATCTGATCTCCAGTCTATACTCATAATCATAAAATGTAAATAACTAGGTAGTCTATGTCGTTGCTGCTACTAAAAATCTTAACTAGGCATCCTCCGTGACGCTTGCACTACCCTTCTCTAGCTGGCTGCCCTCGAACTTGCTGCTCACTAACTACTCCTCTAGCTCCTTCTCTAGCTCGTCAAACTGGTGAGTGAGATGGGGTCAGTCTACGCCCTTACATTTAACATCTTATTAAAACTTGAGCACTTTACTTAACTGTGTGGAAGTTGTTTTGTACTTCCACTATTGAAAAGCTTAACTCTTAAAACTGTATGGGAGTTAGTGTTACTCCATTCTTAAATCTCAAAGCTTGACTTAAATACTTGACTGACACGGGGATCCCTCACTAGCTAGTCCGGTTGCCAACTCATACGTATGAGAAGCCATCCAAGCTTTCCTTAAACTTAAACTTAGTTAGGGAAGTCGTAACGATTCATCCCCCTAACATCTTAAACTTATCGCGGTGGCTCTTCACCACGATTCTCAAGAACATAACTGCTGCTCATCTTAAAAGTCTCAAAAGGCAACGGACTGACGCTAGTGACTAAAACACTTAAAACGACTTCACCTTCTTGAAGGTGAGTTACTTCTTAAAAAGAACTTGTTTCTTAAACTTTAACCATGACTCAAACATAACGCTTTAAGGTAAATAGCACGAAATCACCTCAAATCATAGGTCAAGCAAAGCACAAATAAGCAACCATAGACATAACCAAGCAATAGTAACCAATTCGCTAAACTACTCAAAATCATAATACTTAAAAGAATACTTAAGGCGTAGAATTTACCCCCTTTACACTCACCTCGAAAAGACGACTCCTCGCTTACTTATTTGAAGGAATCCCTCCCTCCCCTAATTATCTCAGGAACACCATTATAGTGGCTCGTCGGATGGCGTCATCACTCGAACTAACTCGGGCTCTCTCTCAATTATCCAGAACTCATCTCCTCTCCATCACGTCTCCGTCACTGCCACCGCTAGAACCCACCACCAAAACCTTTCCTGTCCTTTTCCCTTTCACTAGAGGACAATGGACTTTGTCCATTTAATTCCTTCCTTTAAGGGTCCGGATAGTATAACAACACTCATAGTGTTGTTATACTAACAACAAGATTCATTAAGGGTAAAAGGGTAAACTTACACAAAATAACAAATTAAAATTAAAAAAATAAATATTCAATCCCCAGCCTTCCCCTCTCCGTCTCTCGATCTCTTCTCGCAGTTGTTGCCCGTGAAATCGAGAGGCCTCTTTATTAATGAGCGATGAAATGGCAGCCGCCACCGCCACTCTGAACTTGGGATCCGCCGCCATGGCCGTGCTCACATTTTCAGCCGACTCGCCGCTGCCAGCCTTCCCACGCGCCGCCGTCGCCGGGATACTCAACATGTTTGTCTCCTTCACCAATATCGCTGACGGAAAGCCGCCTTCTTCCTCGCGAAACTCACCTTCTCCACACTGTCGCTACGCCTCTACCAAGCTATTTCTCCCCCGTCGATGGCGTCCTCTGTTGTAGATCTCGTCACGGCGGCGCCTCGCAAACCCGATCTCCGGCAATGAAAAGTGACGATGGATCCCTGATCTTGATGTTTACAAATAACCTGTATCTCCAGGGACAGCAACGACGGCCGCAATCCCTCCAATAGCGCCTGCAATCGCCACTGATCTGGGCCCCTCTGGCTGCTCGATAAATTCAGCAACCATCCAACCACGATTTAGCCAAATCATCCACTTCTCTCAACACAATCAAGTTGTTCTGGATCTCGGTAAAAATCAGACTCAACCCCCTCCCCCATGGTGTTGCCCACCGCCGACCACTGTGTTCGTAGGATTTCAAAATCCTGACCGCCGTCCAGCGCAACATGGTCGCCATCAAGAAGCTCATCGCCACCTGGAAAGATATCCCCCACGCGCAAGGTCAGCCATGCATATATGACCCCTCCTCTATACTGCCGCAACCCATGGTTGGAGGTGATTGCCTGTCAGCAATGGAAATCGCTTGGAGTGCAGCGGCGGAGGGAGTTTAGCCACTTTGTTTTGACGAAGATGACTATTTAGGGATTTAAGGCTTTGTTTGTTTTGTCAATTTTGGTTGTGTTAAAGGAAATTTTAGTAATTGTATACCTTTTTTTAGTAAGAGTAATTGTATACTTTAAATTAGTGCAATGATAGTAAAATTAGTGTAATGTTTAGCCATTCAATATTTTTAATGCATACTAGAAATCCCTAATGCATACCACTAATTCCGTAAAGCATATAAAAAACACCAGAAACCTCTTAATCCAGACCACAAATTGCCTAAAACAGACCAAAAAATTCAAAAAGCAAACCACAAATATTTTTATAAACGCACCAGAAACCCCCTAATACAAACCACAAACACGGTAAAGCAAACCAAAAACGTCCTAATGCAGACCACAAATATATTAAAACAAACCAGAAACCTCGCAAACCAAACCACAAAAGTTTCGAAAGCACACCAGAAACTTCTTAATGCAAACCAAAAACCTCCTAATGCATACCACAAATCTCCTAAAACAAACCACAAATCTCACAAAGCAAACCACAACATTTGCGAAAGCACACCAAAAACCTCCTAATGCAAACCACATACATAGTAAATCAAACCACAAAAAAGCAAACCATAAACGTCCTAATGCAAACCACAAATATATTAAAACAAACCAGAAACCTCACAATGCAAACCACAAAGTTTTTGAAAACAAACCAGAAACTTCTCAATGCAAACCACAAACACAATAAAACAAACCATAAAAGGCATAAAAAAATATGAGAAACCAAACCATAAATCTCACAATGCAGACCATAACATCCGGTGGTCGTTGACCGTTGACCGAACTCCGGTGACCGTCAGTGAGCAGATTCCGACGCCGATAGGCATATTCCGGTCCCGGTGACTAGATTCCGACGCCGATAAGCATATTCCGACGCCGGTAAGCATATTCCGACTCCGGTAAGCATATTCCGGCCACAAAATAGCATATTCCGGTGACCGGCGGCCATTTTCCGGCGACCGATGGCAGAATTCCGACGACCAAATTTTTGGACAGAAAATAAAAAATATTTTTTTATTTTTTATTTTTTTATTTTTTTATTTAAATAGATTTTTCATAATGACAATTATACCCCTGCTTTGATTTTACACTAGGTCAACTCATTTAATAAAAAGTCATCACAATCCTAGCTTCCTATTGGTTGGGGACTAGTGTTGTTACAATAACAACACAATGGGTGTTGTTACAATAACCGGTCCCTTCCTTTAACTACTGCCTTCTTCCAAACATCACCAGGAAATAATCACCCATAACTAATTTTATTCACCCATAACGTGTAGCTATAAGATTGGAGCTTATACCATATGGCTTATTCGCCACCAATTCCACCAAAAGCACCCCTCGAGATCCTGCCACCTGCACATCCTGAATCTCAATCCATCGTTCAACAAGTAATCCCCTTTTTCCTCATTAGGCTCCATCCGCATCGCCATTCCCTAGCGCCTCCTGCTAGCTTGGAAGGTCGGCGCTTTTGCCCGCGTTCGAGGCAGCAGAGAGCTGCTTGAGCAGGTCTCGTATAGAGAGACTATCATGATCGCCGCAAGCCTTCTTACATCCCGCCTTCGACAAATCGAGAAGGTGCTGCTGAGTTCCCCGACTGCGCAAGAACTTGGGCGAGCGCTTTTGCTACTCCGCCTTTCTCTTTTACTCGCTCTTTTTCCGATCCTTTTTTTTCTTCTAGGTTGTATTTAAAGGTCTAGTGGAGCCGAGTGAGAAGTAGGGTTAGGGTTTAATTGTGCAGGTTAATTTGGGAATTTCACAAATTACGGGAGAGTTCAATCCGCAACTCAACTAACGTCCGTAACTTATTCGATTTATATCGAAACTCGACACCGTTTGAACCGAGAGTTCGCATTTTTAGTCCTCATCGATATTACGATGGAATTTGACCAATTTCCCCAAGGGTATAATAGTCATTTTGACTTTTGGCCAGATCGGGGTGTAACAGAAATTCCATACGGTCGTGTGTCCCTGGCCGTGTGGGAAGCCTGAAGTGCAATTATTCGGGACGCTGCGTTTTGGAACTCACACGGGCATCTGGGTAAGCCAGACGGCCGTGTGGCCGGCCCGTGTGATCGGGAAATCTGGGTTTTTACCCAATTCCGAGCCAAAAGTGAGAGAATCGACTTTTTGGAGCAAAAACAGAGCCCTAGAGAGAGAAAGTGCGAAGAACTCATCCTAAGAGTGGTTTTGGAGCTGGGTTTCATCAAATCAAGCTTGGAGATCATCATAGGAGTGATAATCATCATCCCAGAGCAGATTCTTCCCATTGTTATGAGTATGACTGCTTTGTATCCTGTTTCCCCTCTCTCTCTATGGAGTAGAACTTTCTCTCACTTGGGTATGAAGAACCCTAGTTTCATGTGTTAGGGATTTTGATTGTAATGACTTGGGATTGTTATACTGCTTGCTTATAATCGAATGATGCATGATTCATTGAATTGATTGAAGTCTGATCAGCTTTTCTTGATTTCTGCTGCAACCTAAGATAGATAGAATCTGATTAGGTTGTTAGAGCTACATCATTCGGTAGTAGTGGATTGGTTATACGAGAGTTAGTCAATCTACTGCTTTGTATAGGAATCTAATTCCAGTAGTGGAGTTCTATGTTCATAGCCTCAGCTTTCTATCCCGGTGAAGGTTAGTCGCCTGCCGGGTAGTTTGACTGAGAGGGCTTGGTCAGCTTAAGAGATTCCAAGCTACTGTCGTATCTTCCGCAGTATAATCAACAGTAAATCAACCCAGGGTAATTGCAATTGAGACCTAACTAAGGAGCTAGGGGGACTCATTCTCGAGTGACTCTTCCTTGGCTTTAGAAAACCGAACCATTTCCTACTTTCTTATTGCTTTTAGTTAAAACAACAATCACTTGACTTGGTTTGCTAGATAATAGATAATCACGGAGTAGGCAGTAGATCTAGACCCCGGGTTGATAATAGAACTTGCTACTTTACTGCATTCCCGGATTGCGATTACACTTGGTCGCAGTTTGGTGTTGTGTTTGACCGTGTCACCAATCCCCTACCATCGTGGGCACCAGTACTCTCTCCGACCGCGATTACTGGCCTCCGCTAGACGCCATCGGCTGCAAAAACCAGAAATCATCTTTGACGAGAAGGTGGTGTAATCAAAGCATTTATGTCGGAGTTGGTAAGTTTCAATCAGAGCACACTCCCTGCGACAGTGCAAGAGACCCTGACGAAGCGACAAGGAGTGGCGGCGGCGTAGTTGCCATTGACCAGCCAGCCAGGAGTGCTCCCACTAGGAGGGAGATGGGGAGGTAGGGGAAGAGGAAGAAGAGAAGGAACTGGATTGCTGGCGGGAGCGGGAGCAGGGGAAGGTGAAGCAGCAGCGGGAGTGGGAGAGGAGAGTGTTCTCCTCCGGGACGGAGCAGGCAGCGACGGAATCGGATCTTCGTACCATTCGTGCTTCTGATTCTGGTGTTGGTCCGGCGCCCATGGGATGAGAGAATTGGAAATCGGGGAATCCCTAATTGGATTGTTATTTTCCCAAGTATGGAGAAAGAAAGATAAGAGAGTAAGAGTTGTTTGGTTGGGAGAGAAAGGGTGTTGGATAAAATGTGAATTAGTTTTCCCTTTTTTTTGGTTGAAAATGAAAAATAAAAAAATGGTAATAGGTGGAAAATATAAAAAAAATTAAGTGAAAGTTACTGACTTGGCAGTGACGTGGCGCGTTGACTGTTAGTCAACTCGTTTGACTATCCAAGACAATGGTAAAACATCGGGTTTGGCCAATTTCGTTACTTTGATGTTTAGTTTGGGCCAGGATGTTATAGATCGAAAAGATTGCTCAGGATGTTTATTATGTGTAAAGTTCAGGCCATACAAATATATTAACCATTTTTTCCCTACTAGTTCTGGTATACCTTCGTGCAATTGTGTTATGGTTTATAAAATTTGTGGTCTGGATTGTGTGGTATGTTTAATATGTAATATGGGGTCTGGTTTATTAGGTTTGTGCTTCACTTCCTCTTTCTCTTTTTTGCTTGCTTTATAGTGTTTTGGATCTCATATCTCTGGCATGAATTTAATATTAATGTTGTCCATTGTTTGTGTTTTGTTTGCACGCATACGAATTTGAGGAAGGCTATGAGAAATACAAGAGAGCATTGATGAAACATGTTAAAGAGTACGAGGCAGAAATCTCTAAGATGAATGACCATATAAGAATGTTGAATGAGGTGATGGATTAGGAAAATGTCACCCAACAACATACTAGTTATCAGGAGGTCGGTGATGATGAGAACGAGAACAAGGCTGAAATGAATATAGGTGAGGATGATTAAGCTAATAGTGTGGAAGAGGACGAGTAGAAGGGTGTTGAGAATGAAGCGAAATAGGAGAGTAAAAAAACAGAGGCATGTGAGCATAACAATAATGATGAAGATTGTGGAGGGAGGAAAAAGTTGAGCAAGATGTTGATGACAGCTTTGCCACCATCCAAAATGAAGATCAAACCATCAATCTCGAGAAGCGTGTAAAGGATATAACCAAGGTGTGAACTTATTTCGTTTGTGGTATGAATTATTCTATTCTTGGTACGGTTTCATGTATTTCTAGTTTAGATTAGAGTATTTGGGTTATCCTATCTTGTGTTTCTAGTAGGCTTTAGTACTTTTTGATATGTGTTTATAGTGTTTCTGGTATGCTTTATGACTTTTTTTTGTTATGGTTGATCTTATTTCTGGCCTGCGTAATTCTGTTTGCATAATCTATAAAAATGACAATTCATGTGCAAGAATCAAGCTACAACAAGGAGGAGCCCGAGTTGGATGGTGGTGAAGCTTATCATAAGCACAAATGCATGTACTACCAAGATAAGAAAGGTATATTGTTCTACTTGTTTATTTGTGATCTGGATTGGTCCCTTTTTCTAGTATGCTTTATGTCATTTATGGTATGCTTTGTGATTTTTATGGTGTGTCTTTGGTCTTTCCTATATAATTTATATGGTCATTTTATGTGTTACTATTTGTCTATGCTGCAAAATTGGAGACTTATTGACTCGCTCAAAACTACACCACAATTAAACCCCAATTAGAGCCCAACTTTTTAAACTCTAATCGGGTGCAGTATAGTGCAAGTATTTATATACCGACCCGGGCCGGTCCGTCTACCCCTACTTCGGTTGTTGAAATTATTATCTAGCGATAAAACTTTGGTTTAAAGGTTTACCAATTGAAATGAAAGAAAGCAAAGGTGCTTTGGTTTGAAAACTCTTTTGTGGGAAAGTCACTTGGGTTTCGCTTCCCCCTAACCGCTACCATGCTACGTGGGTTGGAACGATTGCCTTGGGCACGTTAATCGTGAACCGCAGAGGAAAGCCTATGTGGTCGGGGACCACAGTCTCGATTGCTAAACCGAGGTGAGGATGAAAGGTCGTGTCACTCGACCCTCTCGGTTTAGATAATTGATAATCGGCTTACTTCCTCACTCAACTATAAGGTCAGATGGTTTAACCACGATTAATCGACTTGTTCAATTCAATATTGAGGATTGCCCTAACTCAACCTAGTTTAGATGGCTTGGAAAGCGGAAGGAAAACCAACTCGATTGAGTCTCCCTTAAAAAGGGGGATCTCCTCTCTAAACTAGGCTAAGTTGGCAAATTAGATTACTAGCACCTAAATGCACAAACTTAGGGGGTGCTAAGCACAATTATGCACAATCCCTAGGATGATAAGCACAAAATATGCACAACCCCTAAGTTGCTAAGCACAAGCATGCAAAATCATGGTGAAACGTACCTCAAACATTAAATTGAACAATGCCCAATATCAATCATCCAAACCACATACAAGAAAACTACATGGTAGGGTTTAGGGTTTCACTACACCCAAGTGGAAGGAGGACTACTCCATGGAAGAAGTGGGAAGAACAAAGGGGAAAAGGTGGAAACCATCTTTTGGGGATGCATCCTCTCTTCTTGACCCTTGAGCTGGGATTTCCTTGGGGAAATCTTCCCAAAACCTCCTTTGAAGCCAAGCCCTAACCTCTTCTTCTCTTTGGTTCTGTTTCTCTCACTAAAATGCAGAAGAAGGTGTTTCTCTCACAAAAGTGGCTCTCCCTTCTCTCCTCCTTGCAGCTCAGCTTTTAAACCCAAGAAGAGCTGAGTTCAAGGCTGTGAACCATCAAACGCGTCCGTGAACTCACGCCTTTCGCCAAAATGCTCCGCATCGATCACGACAGTTCACGGGCAACTGCTTGTGTTCATGGTCTTAGTGACTGTGAACTCGCCTTGCGTCAGTAACCTTCAACTTGGCTCTGAACGCCTTGCGCTTCACGGTCAACTCCCCTTCTTCACGGACTTGCACGACCGTGAACTCCTTCTTTTAGCCGTGAACTTGCATTTTTTTCACCTCTTCTCCCGGTTTTCGATCCTTTTCGCCAATCCTTCGACTCCGAGGCTGGTTCCACCTGTTAAATCCTGAAAAGCACTCAAACACGAAGAACCTCGCGTAAAACCAACCGCTAATGAGCGAATTTGGCACAATCATCTAAGCAAACCGGGGGCAAAATATGTGCAATTAGGCTCGGATCACTTATGTGAAGGATCATAAGCGACAAGAAGAGGAAACGTGAAAGCAACAATAAGCAAACAGGCAATAATCCCTCCAAGTATAGAAAAACCACCATTTGTTGG